AAGTCGCTCGAGCCCGTCATCCAACTCATCACTACCGACTTTGACTTGACCGAGAACGGCTGGACTTTCACCGGACGGAACGGCAGCATGGGTGCCGATCCTCTGTACGGCTTCACAGGCCTGAAGCAACTCTACTTGAAAGCCGACCCCAACTACGTCGGTCGCTACACCGTGCCCGTGCTATGGGACAAAAAGACGGAGACAATAGTGAACAACGAGTCGTCGGAGATCATCCGCATGCTGTACGATCAGTTCGACGATTTCTTAGAACCCGACCAGAGGGAAGTCAATAAGCCCGGCGGGGGATTTTATCCTCCGCACCTGAGGGCCGAGATTGACGCCATGAATGAGTGGGTGTACAACACGGTCAATAACGGCGTGTACAAAACGGGCTTCGCGGCCTCGCAGGAGGCCTACGACGCCAACATCTACCCGCTCTTTAAATCACTTGACCGCCTCGAGGAACACCTGAAAGATCCCTCTCATCAACCATACCTGTTTGGCGAACACATCACCGAAGCGGACATAAGGCTATACACCACCCTCGCGCGCTTTGACGTCGCATACTACAACATCTTCAACTGCAACCTGAAAATGATCCGGCACGATTACCCCCGTCTTTCGAAATGGTTGCGAAATCTCTATTGGGACACGTCCGACCGAACGAACGGCGGGGCGTTCAAAAAGACCACTTTCTTTGAAGTCTACAAGTATGGATACCTCCGCGCAAAGGGCCGCCAGATGCACGGCGGAAGTGACCTTGGATGGCCTGTTATTATTCCGCGCGGGCCGATCCCAGATATCGAACCTCTGACAGACGAAGAAGAGAAGGAACTTATCGACGGTACGGCCAGAAAAATGAACGGCTTGAGACTTCACAACCTGCCATCCGGTGGAAACGTGGGCGCCTCCGCAAACCCATTCAGCGCACAGGGAGACAAGGCAGGAATGGGCGCCATCTTCGGCGCTGACGTCGATTCTCCCAACTTCGACGACGGGGACGTGACTACGCCTACCACCGCGGCGGCGACGGCCAGCGTGGGAAGTCCCGCCAGCACCAAGAACGGAGTGGATGACGACGACGGGAACACGGGCTTTGACGAGAACGGCGAATTCCACCCGCGGAGGATGATCAAGAGGAGAACGACGTACAGCGATGCCAACGCTAAGTGGTACAAAGCGGCGAAGAAGGCCGAGAAGAAGATGGGTGCCCCGAGTATGCATTTGGCGTTGTAAGGGCGGACACGAAGCTGGGAGATTTTGGATGAGAAGTCAGGGAAGAGACAAAGAGGGAGATGTAAGTGATGAAGAGGACGAGGTCGGGACTGCTTACAAAAAGACACGGAGTGAAGAGAGCCGGGACGAAGCTGGGCGCTAAGTATAGGGGGAGTTTGGATTAATGTAGATTGCACAAGATCAAAGGAGATGTGGAAGAAAAGCGTTCTTTAGCACAAGCACGGCCGTGGCAGCGGAGAGCAGTATTACGAAGTAATCATGACCATATCCGAGAAAACAAACAGTTCGGGGTTTGTCTGGCAATCATGTCTGAATCGTTGTCTGATGACAAGATTTTGCTATCATAATGACCGGGGAGGGCCTCGCTCATACATAGTCAGCATGGGCATGAGCATCATAATCCAACGGGTCGTCATTATATGCCAAACCTGCTGGCAATCTCCAGGAAGCCTACATCGCCCTCGTCGAGACTTATCCACATGTCCACCCAGCCTTGCTGTTTCGCCGCCTCGGTGTCTTCCTTCGACCATCCTTCCTCCTGTGACCTCTCGATGTAGATGGTCTGATAGCCACAGCCCCTAGCGGCCTTGAGATCGCCCAGGTGGGCAGCCACGAGCGCACACTCACCCGGTTCCAGTCCCAGTTTCTTGGCGGCGCCGAGGTAGACGCTCGGATGCGGCTTGTAGGCGCCGAAGTCCTCGCCGGAGAGGATGTGCTTGTAGGGCAGGTTGCCATGGCGGGCGAGATCTTGCAGCAAGGCCGTGTTGCCGTTGCTCAAGGTCGCGGTCTCGAACTTGTCGTTCAGCTTGGCCAAGCCTGGCGACGAGTCGGGCCACGGGTCCAGAAAGTGCCAGATCATGCTGATCTTCTGGACTTCCTCGTCGGTCCACAGGCCGTCGAGGCCGTGGTCGACCAGGATCTTGTGCAGCGCCTCGACGTGGTGCTGGTCCACCGTCTTGAACTTGGAAGGGTCCTTCTGCGCCGCGGCCGGGTCGTACGTGCGCGTGAAGTGGTAGTAGGACGTGCGCCAAAGTTGGGCGACCTCGGGCCAGGAGATCCGCGCGGCAGCGGCGCGCACGCCGCTGGGGATGGACGACGTCGGGGAATTCAGGGCCTCTGAGGCGGAGAGGGTGAGGTACTTTGTCACGCTCGAGCGCCAGTCGACCACGGTGCCAAAGACATCTGTTAGGAGGGCCTTCGGGGGATTTGTGGTGGACATGTTGTTTTCCCACTTCTCTTTTTCTTCTCTTTTCCTTTTGCTCTTGCGTGTATGTTTGTTTGTTTGGTTGATGATTGAGCGAGAGGTGATCTATTGTGAGGCAAAACAAATTAACTTAGCTGGATTATCTCAATGCATTGCTCGTGGACAGTGCCGGGCTCTACCAGTAAGGGTGTCAATGGAACATGTGAGGAATAATACAAGCAGCGGATTGGGGAACGAGAGTCCGAGGATGACGAAAGATGGCGATGGCGTCTTTTCCCCGGGCACGTCTTGGACGTCGCATGAACTGTCGTTCAGCCGTGGAGTTCAACTTTGGAGATGGTGCACCCTGGCGACTACGCACTCAGCTCAAGATGAGAAATAAGTTGGGGGGCATCAACCTCGGCAGGCACAACAACGCTCTCTGCATTGCTCGTCCTCACTTTGAACCACTTTTGGCTTCGGGCACTCTCCGCGCGTGTGAGAGGATGGTATCATGATCCTGTGTCAGCGTGAGGTAGAGACAGAGTATTCTTAAAGTGCGATGCTGGTCCAATTGGGGAGGAACCAGCCACTACCGAGGACTAGAAAAAGTGCATGAACTCTGCGGAGTGGGCTCCATTCTTCTCCTGGTCCATCTCGGTCTGGAGACAACTTCAAAGAGTGGTACTTGAGTAGATACCGAGAATTCCGTAGGTAGTGAACCACTTGGCAAGCAGCTGTCGGTTGTTTTCGGTGATCAAACTCCAGTTTGATCGACAACGAGAGAGAACCAGCCTGTAGGCAATCAAATGACGGGCACGAGGCCTGGTGATGCCCAACGAGGTGTGGATAACCTTGTTTGATGGCAGGGGAAGGTGAAACAAAATCACACACGACATGATAGTTTCTTTGCCAGTAGACTGGAAGCGACGGGGGGACGTTGACAAGGTCTCAAACACGAGGCGAACAGGCCGAAGACAACCACAGCCACCCGGGAAAACCACCAAAGGGAGGGGAGGAAGTTGGTCGTCCTGCTCCGTGGCGGCATGTGGGAATGGCGAACGTACCGAGTACTGTTTACCGTATTGTTGTTGGTTTGATAGAAGCGGTCGAGATTTGATTTCAGGATGGGATGGGATGTGATGAACCGGGCCCGGGCCACACGCGCAGACAACTATTGTTGACGGAGGTGACACAAGACCGTTTAGAGTGTGATGTGATGAGAAGGATGGTGGAGGTCCCGATGATTCTCTTTGCCCTGGCCACTAAAGTACTAACTACTTGGGTACGATCCAAACATTGAATGTCTCCCAAAAGTAGAGCCTGCCAACTGAGAAGTCCGTCGGCGCACGGAGCATGATCAACATCTTGGGATCAAACCTTGGGTTCGGAGAATTAGTGGTGCACAAGAGAAAACCCTAAATATGGCTTCATCGTCGTGTTCGCGCACGGGAGTGACGGAATGCCAGCATGGTTACAAACAAGGATAGGGACGCAGACGGGATGCGAAGGAGGAAAAGGGCCTGACAACCTGACTCGATACGACTGGAGGACACATTGGAGGCACTGGGCAGCCACCCAAATAGGCCATGACAAACACAACGGTCGCAGTAAGCGAGAGTGAGAGAGAACGCACAGACACCCCCAACCGGTGTGGCTGCTCGACTTGGGCACAGACGGAGTCCATGACCGAGTGATTACCCACAGTTCATGCTTCATGCCGACGATGGAGTGAGCATGGGACGGGAAGATGATGCACGAAGCTTTTTGTGAAGACGAGGAAGAGTAGGGATAGAGTCCCTAGTCCCTGGTACCTAAAAACCTATGTACATATGTACCCCGTAGTAAGTAAGTACCTACTCCACGAAGAGGCGGCCCAGCTGCGGCCACCGAATAGTACCTACAAGTACTTAAGTAGGTAGCTAGTAGGTAGCTAGCTAAGTATCCAAGTTCAGGAACCTCCTGTGGCATAATCAACGGCCGGTCCTTGTCTGATGTTCTCGTGGTTCCCTCCCTCCCACTCACACTCCATCTCTCGCTTCCGTGCTCAGAAATCCCAAATATCCACGAGGGGCGACTGGCCACGAGAGAGAACAACATGAACAGTCCAGCTCCAGGAACCAGGAAATTGACAATTTGGGAGCTTGATCAAATAGCAAGCTTCGAGCCCAAGATGCGCTAGACAAAAGGCGGAAAGGCTGGTGGCTCAGAATGTTCCGGTAGAGGGAGCCGAGTGGGTTTCAGCGGGACCGGAGGGGTCTTGGTGGGGAACATGAAACACACTAGACATGCCACCAGGAACTTGACTCCAGACCGGCCCGTTGCTGCTTCGAGACCACTTGGTACCAGTATTAGCTCCATCAGACCTGCAGCCTGGAGCCTGGGGACTGCGAGCACCATCGCTTTCATCTAACCCAGTATTTTCGCCTAAGGAAGGACCTCGTAAGTATGTACCTACAGGCAGAAGGTGCGAGTGAAGAACCGAGTACCGGGTACGTAGACGAGACACTTCAATCCTATACTCTATCACCATCTGCGCTTGTCGGATCCTTTGTCCCAACCAACCCATGTCGCCGCCACCATGGAACGAACTTGCACCTCTCTGTTGGCCAAGAATCGCAAACGCACTAAGCGGCGTGGCTCCTTCCGGGCTAAGACGGATGCCCCCGTCCCTGGGACTCTGGGTGAAGCCCTGGTAGCCCACCAGCCTAGCCCCGCGCCGGCCGCCAGGGCGCGAGCCTCATTACTGGGTATTCAGGTAAGTCTCTTTTCACCTGCTTGACCTGCCCCCCTCCACCCTGCAATCCCTGGCCCCAAAAGGCCGCTTCGGCTGCGCCCAGCGACGCCCCTGAGCAATGATTTTCCCGCGATTCTTGCCCTTACATCCAATCAATGCCTGGCCCAATTTTGCGCCTATGCCGGCCGATCACTCCCAGCTGGCCCTTGGCTCCATGGCTCCGCTCCCAGACGCGACTGTGGGCGACAAGTCTTTCCCTACTTGTGCGAACAAAGGGCTGAGCTTCACTTTCGAGTAGTCGAGCGGCCTTCGCTCGACCCAAGCCAGAGGATCAGGCCTGACCTCGTCGGTCCTTTTCGACTCTTTTCGCTTCAAAGCAGCAAGCATCCTCGTCAATCGTTGCCCTTGCCTTCGTACGGTCCCTCCCCCCATTTCACGGGCTAGGCTGGAATCAGACCAGCAAGCTTTCTCCTGTCCATCTGTCAATCCTATCCTATCCTATCGCAGACGCCCATTGCTTCGACCGCGCCCTGCATGAGCCCTGCTACTGCTGTTCTGTCTGTTGTCTCGTCAATCTTGCATGACCACCTCACCGTCAAAACCGCTGCTTGATTCGAGACCTCTCACGAGTCCGCTGTGCGAACTCACCAAGCCCCTGCTGCTGGCTTCAGTTGCCGTTGCATTCAATCCGTCCTTCTCGCGTCCCCGTCATGTGCTGCGAGGTTCGCCGAGTAGTGATTTAATTCACTATTCATTGCAGGAGACGGTCTAGAAGCACAGGACGAGCCATTGAAGCCACGCGGAGAGTGCTCTACGAGGGCTGCATTTGAACCTGAGCAGCTCTCAAGGGCACGACAGCGGTCGACGTATAATGGACCCCGAGGTCAGTTATTCGCTGCCTTCGCCGACAGACACTCCGTATCGAACACCGTCCAGTTCGCAATCTGTCCGCTCCCGTCGATACGAAGACATGTCGCCCTCATCCACGCCGCCCCCAATGCCCGATGAACGAGCCAACAAGAGACGAAGTAACGATTCCATTCACTCGAACCCGGCTCTGGACGAGAACATATCTCCTCTCGATCCGAGACGATTTACGCCTACGCTCCATGCCTCCCTCGTCTCCGAGATCCTGTCGCTACGGCGAGACCTCGAGAGTCGCACCAATGACATTGAAAAGCTGGAAATCAGCCTCCATGCGGCCCAGACTCAGAATGAGGTCCTCAATAACAACCTCTTGCAAGCCAACAAGGAGACCAGGTCAGTCAAGCGGCAGATGCAAATGCTTGAAGGAGGCACTCTGTCCGCTCTCAACGACTTGGCCAAAGAACGAGACGATGCCTTGAGCGATGTGACCGACCTGCGAAAGCGTCTCGAACAGACCCAAAAAAAGGCCAAAAACCAAGAGGAAATCGCAGAGAAGACCCAGGCCTTGTGGGATAAGGACAAGGAGACTTGGCTCGCAGAAAAGCGTGGTCTCGAAACCAAAGTCCACATTGCCGAAGGTCGTCTGAAGGTCGTGTTGAGTGAACTCGCCAACGCCCAACAACACCCAGCTCCTGCGTCCCCCACCGAGCGTGCGCACAGCCGCAACAGCATAATGGATAGTCCAAGTAAAGGCTCTATCATCGCCCGGAGAGGCCGGAGGCATAGTGCGACATCGGTCAACAGCGACACTCACGGAGGGCGAGTCTCGGTCTTGAGTTTCCACAACGGCATTTCGATCAACTTGGCCGACGAACTGGCCTTTGATGAAATGGAAGAAGACATGTTAAATGCACTTGACAACGACGATGGCCGAGTCTCCCCCGACGCTCTCCCAGAGGAACACGTTCGGCCCGCGTCTAGTCTGTCCATCAAGGCGAGGAAGGTTTTGGGGCTCCCGGTCGACTTTGAGGAGATGGAGCGGAATGACAACCCCGAACATGATCGTGCGGGAGCTATTTCAGCGGACGGGAACCGACATCGACCAAGCATCAAATACGTAGATACTGCCATTCAATTCTCCCCTCCGTCCTCCCCGTGGCCGGTCGCGGATCCACGACCAAAGGCCAGTGGCCACCGACCAGCAGAGATTTCGGTCGGGAATGCCAGACAAATTAATGTCACCCCAAGCCCGGTCAGTCCACAAGACAGTATTGATATTTTTTGGGAAAAACAACGACCTATCATGGTGTCGTCGGGTTGCCAGACAGTCGAGGCTCTCCCAAGTCCACCTCTTACACCTGACAAGCGCGACGCGGGACTGGCCACCATTCCCGAAAGTGCCCTGGAAAGAGTCGACACCGCCACCATTGGAACCCAGACCGAGTCTACATTACCGGTCATCGACCATTACAGCCACAAGCACTCGGGGAGCGATGAGACTCTGGATCTGAAGGTTCCCCTGATTGCGATCATCCCTCCCGCGTCAAGACCTGCCACACCCGAAACTAATGTTGTGCTACCACCCCGAACCAAGAACGCAAGCACCCAGGTCGCTAACCACTTACTGGGAGGATACAAGTCGTCTTCTATGCAGACAGAAGAAATTCGAGTCGATATCAGAGCCATTGTCCCACCTTCCGAAATGCCACCTGCTCCGTTGTCAAGTCATTTCAGGCCACCAATTTCATCCAGAGGGGCGTTGCCACCTCCGATCCCTCGAAGCAGAGTATCTCCCGGTACCTCGATGTTTGCTTCGAGGCGTTCGGCTATGGCTGGACCGTCCAAGATATCTCCTGTGAACGACAATGGACCTCTCACAAGAGATTTTGCTTCAAATATGCCCCGACCCGTCAGGTCAAGTAGTCTTTTCGCCGGATTCGACGATGAGTCTGAAAATCGTGACGACTATATTGAGGAAGACACCTTTGCAGAGGACGATATCTTTAGTCGTCCGACTGCAAAATTTGTTCTCAAATCTGGAAAAATGGTCTCCCAGGACCTGCGGTTAGAGGATGTTAGTGAGAGCGCGGCCGCGTCTGCAGGTGAAGCAGCGGCTCTAGAGAACCTCCGCCTATCCGAAGACAGCTTACCGCCCGAAATGAAGGCGATTCTCTTCCAATCTCGGATGAGCCCGCGCAGAGGTTCCCAACGGCAAAATATGGGCCTGAAACTGAAGAGAGTCCCATCCGCCAGGTCCAACAACATGAGAAGAGCAGCTTTGATATCAAGCGGGGCGGCAGCCCATCAGTCATCACATTCCCAATCCACCACTGGCTCTTTGGAAAGCAACAACCCACCCCCCTTCCCTGTTCCCCTGCGATATAGCTCGGCAAAGGTCGGCAAGTCCATCAGTGAAGGTGGCAGGAGTTCACCCGGCAGCAGCAACGCGTCGCCTACCAAACGGCCAAGGAACAGCAAGTATGCGAAACCAATGTTGAGAAAGGCGAGGTCGGGGCCCGCGATTTCCCCCCACTCGCAAGCCCGAAAATCACGGAGTCGCTCACCACCTCTAGAACCAAGGGTATCCATTGTTCCAGAGATGCCGAGCTTCCAAATGCCCACGACAGCGCCAGCACCCATTGCTGAGCCGTACGGCAACCTACGGGAAGCAAGCGCACCACGGCCGTCAATTGCAACCGGGCCTAGTCGACAGCGGAGTCATACGAAGCAGAATTCCGACGTTCTGTCAATGCAGCAGACCTCGGTGGTAGACTCCATTGCTCAGACCATGGTCGGAGAATGGATGTACAAATATGTAAGGAGACGAAAATCATTCGGAGTGACCGAGAAAGCGGACTGGGATGCCAACAAGAGCGTTGAGGAGATTTCTCAAAGTGTGACGAACAACGGTGTTCGTCATAAACGATGGGTTTGGCTTGCGCCGTACGAGCGGGCAGTGATGTGGAGCAGTAAGCAGCCAACATCTGGGACAGCGCTGATGGGCAAGAGTGGTCGAAAATGTGAGTGCTACACTGAAGGGGCCTACTTAACACGCTAACCGTTGACTAGTGACGATCAAGTCCGTGCTCGATGTCAAAGACGACAACCCGATGCCGAAGGGGGCAGTAACTGGACCGAATTTCAACAGGTCCATCCTTATCTTGACGCCGCAGCGCGCCCTGAAGTTCACAGCAACCTCTCAGGAACGCCATTATATTTGGTTGACGGCTTTGTCATTCTTATCACACTCTCCTCTCAGCGTCAATGACCTCACCGCCATCCCTCCTCCACCACCACTTCCCGAACACGAAGCATCGTCTGCGCCAGCACCATCACTTGCTGGATCGCTTCGCAGACGACCAATTAGAGACTCAATCCGACTTACAAAAGGGGCTGCCAAGTCAGCCCCCGGAACGAGGTCTTTCACGACCGACGGATCATTACCCGTGCAGGACTCACGACCGCCGACACGAGATTATTACGATCCATTGACAGACCCTGCTCTGCCACCTACCATCCCCCGTCACTCTCGAAAGCGAAGTAATACGGCACCCCGAGCGCCCCCCAGCTCTTTCAGGAGCTTCTCCACGAACGGTGTGACCCCGAGTTTACCAGGACCGGGATCGAATTATTCGCAGAGCGTACATTCCACAGCAGTGTATTCCTCCGACCGTGGCTTGTATACGCCTAGCTTGGGAATGCAAAGCGTGATTAGCAGTCGGAGAGGTAGTGAAGCAAGCGCTTCAGGTAGACCTCCCCTTCCAACCTTCATGGATAACAACCAAACAACGACAATGAGGATGGACGCCTTCATCGAACATGAACAAGGCACATCGTCAGGTCGACCTTCGTTCAATTTCATGCGATCAGGGCAAGGAAAGAGAAAAGATATGGGCTACTGGGGCGCTGAACAAGGAAGAGAGAGCATCAGCCCAGTGGACTCGCTGCTGCACAGCGAGATGATGGCGGCAAGCTCCTCAACACGAGGAAGCTATGAGTCGCGGGATCCCTGGCGTGGGTTCTGAATCCTCTCTCCACCCGACGATGCGTTCCCAAGCATTGGCCCGTCGAAAGACGATTTTTAGTCATAATGTGTACAAGTGAAAGATGATCGGAAAAAAGAATCAGATTTCTGCGCAAGCAGCGGATGACAGGACGAAATCCGGCACCCCCAGCTTGGAATATCGTTTTTGCTGCTCTGAACCATTCTCACTCCCTTTTCTGGCAAACGGGAGATGGCGTTCCCTTTCACCCAAGGACATGGGATTCGGACAGGCCAAAAGGAATTTGTTGGCAAAAGAATGGGATGAATGGGCTCAAGCCTACGGGAGGAGGTTTTGCTGGATCTGTACATATATCTGTCACATACCCCGAGTTTCGTGCTTGTCAGTTGTTTTTTGTACTCTCTGGCGTTCAAGCGAGTGTCTTGCTGTATGGGGCCATTTTGTGCTCGTCAATGTTACAAAGAATTTTGTGGCAGTAGCTTCCTCCATTTTGCGGTTTCTTGGTCCAGTGGCATCTAGGACGCGGTACGAGGTACCCTGTAGTCATCACAAGGCTGAAGAACATCAATGCCGTTGATTACATAACCAACAGCCCCGCGGTTTCTCCATCGTCAGGCTGCGGCATCGTTCACCCCTCCATTGGTCGACTTGCCTTGCTTGCCTCACGAAACGACAATCAGTGGGAGTTCTCTCCACTGCCCTCCAAATACCCTCTGCGATCCTCACTCTTACCGATCTGTTTCTTTGCCAGCCTTGCCAACCATCTTTTCTTCCGCCGCAGAGGGCCTTTCCTACTGTCCTTACACAGCCCGCTACCCTCTTCCGAAGTCTGATTTCTTGAATTCTACCTTGCAGCGGTCCAGGCGCAGGCAAACATGCTAATCAAGTAATGCGACTCTCCCATTCCCTCCTGCCTCCTTTCCACCTCGGCTTTGAGCAGAGTCCCACCAAGACCTTACGGGGATTGGTGAACAAAATGCTACTGGGAATGAATCCGGGGCTAACGCGAGACGATTTCTGAAATAGAGTGCGGACGTTAACGGGCAAGGAGATTGAGTTGGACATCGAGCCGGACTACAAGGTGTGCCCTCCTCACCCTCCAGAAATCTCCCTTTCCTAGCCTGCCTACGCATCCTTCGGAGAGAAACCCAAAAAGAGGCAGGAGGAGAAACGTTACTGTAAAAGAGGCGCACCGGCAAATGCTTGTAACAATCAGGAATATCCGATGGGGGCCGCGAAAAATAAAAATCGATTTCATTTGAAGTCTGACGTGGGGATATCCTACGGATCAAACAGGTCTACCGAATCAAAGAGCGCGTCGAAGAAAAAGAAGGCATCCCACCCGTCCAACAGCGGTTGATCTACGGCGGGAAACAGATGTACGTTTGACCCCCTGACCTGTCTCCTTCGAAGGGAAGCTACTTGCGCAGCACATGTCCGCGCAGTTTGCGTCAAAGATATGTTTGAGTTTTGATCGGCGTCCCAAGACGCACACACACCTTGCACGAAACTCACGCAGGGCGGCACTTTGCTAAGCTAATGTGATGTGTCTGCGTAGGGCCGACGAGAAAACCGCCGAAGACTACGGTCTCGAAGGTGGCAATACGTTACATTTGGTGCTGGCGCTGAGAGGAGGGAGGTGACGGAAAAGGGACCATTCCAAGGGGTTACGCGGAAGGAGGCATTCGGGATGGCCTGTTTGTGCGTGGTGGTGGCAGCAAAACTCTAGGAAGTGAGAGAGAGTGTGTGGCGCACGATGGAAAATGGGGTGAAGTGGTGCGATTGGAGGCGAGATGAGATGAGATGAGATGGGATGGGATGAGATGCCAGAAGCCATGAAATGGACATGGCCTTGACTTGACTTGCGTTGAGAAGGGGAACAAACCCAAGCGACCATCACCGAAGGGGGGTGGAGATGATGATCAAGAGCAGAAACCGAAAACAGATGCCATTCAACCCTTCTGTGTGTGCTGTGTACTGTGTGCTGTGTGCCTATGCTTATGCCAGGCCAGGAGAAATAGTGGACATGGTGTTGCATTACATTCCATCAAGGTGCAGGAGGGAGAGGAAGGTAGAAGAGACAGGGCGCATTGATTGATTCAAGGAGCTGGCTCTCCCAGGACCTCTCCGAAATAAATCTACACTTGAGGGGCAATCCAAGACAGGATGAGGATGAGGATGAGGATGTCGCTCTTTAGTTTTGCACCCTGGGAAAAGAGCAAGAGAACCAGAAAGGGAAAGGGGAGTGAAAAGGGGAAGCCAGGAAAGGGTACATACCCACATACCACATGGGCAATGGGCAATGGGCAATGGGCAATGGATGGAGACGAAGATGACGGCCAGAGAGACCGTTGCCAGATCTCCCCATCTCCCTATCCTCGCTACCCAGGTACCCAAGGTATCTCACTCAGACACCCAGCCAGGTATCTGCCATAACTACCTAGTAGGCAGGTATTTCCCATTCCATCACCGAGCTGTCCATCCAGATTTACAAGCCCGGAATATCAAAACTTCCTGATCCAGCCATCCATCCATCCATCCACCCTTCCAATCGACTGTTTTGTTCCCCCTTCCAAAAAAACCAACCAAAAAACCCCCGACGTTCCCATATTCACATGCGCGGCTTTCGTACTCGGATTAATAGTTTCAAGGGGTTTCGCATCAGAAAAAGACATCATTCGTTCCTCTATATGCTTCGTCTCGTCCGTAATACCCTCTCTCCAGCCTCTGTCTTCGTCGCCATGCTCCCCGACAGATGTCCTTATACCGGGTTGGGTCGTTTATTAGGACTTGTATAGAATAGATTTGGCGCTTCATGCTTCCTCTTCAGCGGCTGCAACCCCTGGGGCCGAGGTCCCGGTGCCGCGGAGAGCCTCATGGGACTCCTCGATCGAGACAGGAGTACCTCATCGGCGTTGGCGTTTGCGTTATTGGGCCTTAGCTTCTTGCGCGGCATTTCTGTGTTGTCGTCTTCGGGCTGCCGTTTCCACTTTGCCTGGGCCAGGTTGTCGTCATCGTCTGAGTCTTCGAGGAAATCGAGAGTCAAGCTGCCAGTTGTATTCCCATTTTCTTTTGGGTCCCCATTAGGAGTCGCATTCCTCTGAAGTGGAGTTCCGCCCGACTTCAACGCTCGCAACCTTGATTCACGGTCGCTCGTCATATCATAGGGCTTGACGCCACTCGCGGTGGCAAGCGAAGGCTTCAGTTTCGGTCCCTGCGTTGAAGGAGCTTGTATGGGTGGTCTTGGTGCTCCCAAATTGCCATTTGCACCAATCCCCGAAACGGGCCTCTTAAGCGGCGGACTCACAGCCTTCCTCGCCTCGGTCGCCTGCAAGATCTTCATCTTCTTCACCTCCTCGACGAATTGCGCCGGCGGCTTGATAACGCCAGTCTGCTTCTTCTGTAACTCGTGCATCGGTCGATTCATTCTGCCGGCTTTCGCATCCCTTGCTTCCTTGCGAATCTTCTCCATTAAAGTCATCTTACTCGCGCCCTTCGCACCCGTTTTGCCGGTCATGTAGTTCCACTGGATTCTAGCTCTTCGCGAGGGACCAGGGGCGTTGCTACTTGAATATAATCCCACGCTACGCGAAGTGCTCGCTATCTCCGCCGTGTTCAGCTCCTTCCCTTTCTGAATATCCGCCAAGGCGGCCTTCAACATCGCCTCATCATTTGAAGAATCCTTGGTTGCCTCTGCTTTTAATTTCTTGTACACTTTGTACCAATTTCTGGGGTTGGATGGTTCATGGCGCTTCAGGTCCCAATCAGGGATGTCTCGCTTGATGAAGTTGAGCCAGATCTCGGCGTCGTGGCCAATGATTTGCGGAGACGAGAGTTCGAGTTGGTGCTACAAGTAGTTGGTCAGTATACTGAGAGTAACATGGGGTAGATGGAAGAGAGAGGATGTGCATGACGAGACCTACAAGTTTCTCAGGGCTCTCGATCTTCAAAAGTATGGGTCGGATCAGGTCGTAGTCGAGATCACCAATGTCTGTGATCCGGTGGACATTGCGAGCGCAAGCCCGGCGGGCCATGTCAAGAAGGCTATCGGCCGGCATGGTGAAGGCTTGCTGTGGTCAACTGGAGGGCCAAGTCGAGTTCACAAGGATGTTGCAAATGAAGTAGTTCACGCGGAATGTTGAGCCCAGAAGTCGAGTCTGCAGAATATCACTGAATTTGTATTTGTCGCTCAATTTGTCACTGAGTTTGCCTTTGTGCATGATCCCTGGCTCTGTAATAAAGGACCGACATGAACCGTGGGTTGGGACAAGTGACTGCGTACTCGGTACCCATTATTACTGAGCTAGGTCGCTCCCGTTCGGATTACAGCCATGCAGTTTCTGAATGCAGCCTAGTTCAGCCTTACCGTCTCCCCAGAATTGCACTTCCTCCCCGCCCCATCACTAAGATAGTGCATGGGTGAAAGGTTTCCGACAAACATCCCCTTCTTCATGAGTAGAGTTGATTTCACATACGCAAAAGAAGTAAAATAAATGGCGACTTTCACGGTTTTGGATCAAGCTGAAGAGGGTGAGGACATCTACGGCCAACTGAGCAAACGTGAAAGCTCTAACTACTTTCTTTCAGACAAACTCCACGCGACACGGCTTTTGGGTATCGAAGAACGCCCCTTCAAACGAGTCTCCAAGCGCCTTCTTGCGCCTAGTACTCCTATAAACTCTTTTCTTGTGCGACCGAGCTCGTCAAACGACGATGCGCCCACAGCAGAATCCGCCGCAGACCAACATGAGAATTTCATCCAATCCCTGACGCGCTTCCGCGAGGACGTCATCCTCGACTTCGCAGCCTTCGAGTCCTCCATCGCGCGTACCGAGTTCCTCCGCGCTGCAAACACCCGCGAGCGCGAGCGCTACACTGCGGAAAAACTCAAGATCGAACAGACCGCCAATGATGTGCGGGAAAATCTGTCACATCTGAGAGTGCAGCTTGATGAGGCACAGAAGACACTCGCTGTTCGGAAAACATACGATGTGCTGGCGGAGAAGATCACTCGAGACGAGAAGCTAAAAGTCACGAGAGCCGAGCAACATGTCAATCTCGAGAAATTAAAGGCCGAGATCGAGGAACTAGAACGTGAGAGCGCCGAATTGAAGGTCGCTTGGGCCGAGAGGAGGGAGCAGGTTGAACGAGTCGTACAGGAGGGAACGAGGTTGAGGAGAATAATACGAGATGAGAAAGAGCCAGAACCAGAGGGCGAGGAGAGTGAAGGTGAGGATGGGGAAAGAGATCGAGATGGCTTGTCTACCGCTGGCACACCGAGGCCTATGGAGGATGCCCCGAGTCCGTTCCCAGCCGGGATCAGAGGAAGCGGCATCTTGACACCTAGGTCGAATCTGCGAGACGGACGCGCTAGTGCAGGAGGGGCTACGCCGCGGCGGGGGGAGGAGGATGTCGATATGCATGGTAATACCGGGGTGTCCTCTGGGGGGGAAGATGCGATCAAGGATGCTACGGCAGCTGCTCTTGAGAACGCTGCAGATGACATGGACACGACCTGATCAAGATGCAAGGCCATTCGCCAAAAAGGTCCATCGATGCGGACATGGATAGTCCCATATTCGAAGGACGGAGGTGCACATACCAGTCATACAGCGCTGGAGCACCAACGTCACCTCGACCGAAGACGAGATGGCGTCGAAGGCATGTCAAACATACTTTTTGGTTAACGATCTCGGCGCTGGAGCATGCCACCGTACCAATGCTGAATCCTTTGCCGGACCCAGGAATGACGAAGAAGATGCCTCGTTCTTCTATGTCATGGGGGAAGAAATGGCTCCCAACCCAAATTTTGGATTATGGGGATTCTTGTAGAAGCAAAAACCCGAAGGATCAATGAGCTGTTCAACCTCTGGGCTGCCTTGGCCCGCCAACGCTCGCACCTAGATCAGCACTCTTGGGCCTTTGGCAATTCATTATTTTGCTCTTTCAACTGAATCTCTATCATATCGGCGGAGTTGAAGCCAACAAACCGGCATCAAACCGAGCTGACGTCCATAACCCCGAGCCTTTCTCCAGTTTTGAGAGAAGGGGGGAGTGTCATGATCGCCATGCTCATTTCAATCGCCCCACCATTGTTCTCATCCATAACTCCATGCCGCTTCCGATTTCATTTCTCCTCGTTACGTTTCCGCTTTTTATCTTCGCGGCTGTCCTCGAGGTGCTCTAGGATTGACTGGGGCAAAGCTGTTCAATCACGACATAGTCCTCTCCTCTCCGGCGATTGGATCGTCCTTCTGAGCTTCCTTCGCCGCCTTGAGCACTTCAACCGCAGCGTTCCGTTCGTCTTCGTTTGTAGCCGTGTCCTGGCGTGCTCGCAACACACATCGTGGTTAGCTGCTCAACGTGGCACTTGGAGCACCGGCGTGTGTTTGAGAACTCACCAGGAGGTTTTCCAACTTCTCCCTCGCATTTGTGATGCGATCCCGGAGCGTGGGGATCACGATCTTGGTTTCTTCGAGGGCTTTGCGCTGTGACAGAGAGTTCGGGAGATGTTAGCCTTTTGCACGCTGAGACTCTCGTGGCTGAGGCACGAGAGCAAGAGATGACAATCCGAGCCGACTGATCAAATCGATTTTTTCTTTCTGATCGATGCAATACAGGCAGAAAATGGACACACCTCTTGTCTCAATTTATAGTCATGGTTCTCATCACTTCCGTTGGCTTCGTTCTCCAACTTGTAGATGCGTGCCTCCTGCTGCTCCTGCTCCTTGTAGTAGGAGGCTTCTTCTTTCAAAAGTCGCTGAAGCGATGAGGTCGCGATTTGGATTTGAGAGGGCGGCATCGTTTCCGGTCTGCTGTTCAGTAGAATTGGTAGAGCAGGCACCAGAGGAGGAATGGGATGGAACCAGGAAGGGAAAGGAGGCCTGAGGCGTGAGGCACAATGACGTCGAAGACCAGCACTTGGCAGGACCTTGGCAGGGGGCGCTTCCAATATTCACGTGTCTGCTCGTCTGCTCAATGGCATATCCAACCCCCTTTGCCGCTGCCAGCTTACTTGTTACCTAGGCCTCCGTATCCAAGCCCGGGATGAGCTTACCAGCACTCTGCCATGACCCTGTACCTCGCTCTCCCTCCAAAGATACTGTACTCGCGTCGACCAATGTCCTTATCATGTCATGCACGCGATACTGTGCGGCCGGGCAGAACTCCCTTGGTGTGTTCCGCATCTCACAGTGTGTCCCATTGATGACAAAGTCGACAGCGGAACATTCAGCAGCCCGCCAGTCTGCACGTGGAGGCGGAATTCCATTTACGGCGGCTGTGACTGAGCCGGCCTATCATGCTTCTGCCCTTGACAACAATGTTCGATGTTAGCTAAGCTGGTCCGTGCTGTCCACGCCAGCCATCACCATCTTCTTCCATCGCGGAAACGGCATACCACGGCCTCTTAATTTGATGACCAAAGATTTACCTAGACCAGGAATCCCCTGACATAAAGCTAGCCCAGCCGGAGAAGTTCAATGGTATAAGTATTTTCTCTTTCTCTTCTCGTTGCTCACTTCCTTTTCCATACGTTGGAGCTTAACCTCGTCTTGATCCGCCGTTAAACAGCAAGAACGCGCCGGCATCAACGCCTCAGTCGAAACCAAAGCACTAGCATCTGACCAGAAGATGCGCGCAATCACAGTTTCCTCGTGGGGATCTCCCCCTCAGTTCACCTCCTCACACCCCGACCCTTCATCTTCTTCGGATACCAGTGTCACCCTCAAGGTCCTCGCAAGCGGCCTCCATCAGCTCGTCCGTTCACAAGCCGCAGGAACTCACTACAGCACGAAAGCCTCAACCGTGCCGTACATCCCTGGTGCCGATGGCGTCGGCGAGACTCCCGATGGCCAACGCGTGTACTTTAACAGTATCACAACAGGTGGAGGGTTTGCCGAGTACATCACCGTGCCGAAAGCCAATGTCTCGCCGATTCCGAAAGGTGCAGATCCCGTCGTGATTGCTGGGCTGACGAACCCGGGAATGTCGAGCTGGATGGCCTTTGCTGCCCGCGTGGAACCACCACTGCCGCAGAATTTTACAGTCGTAATTGTGGGAGTTACGGCGATTAGTGCCAAGGTCGCTGTCCAATTTGCGCGTGCCAGAGGTGCGGCTAAGATCATTGGGGTGGCGAGAAATGCAAAGGAGATGGCTTCGATCCCTGGCCTGGACGAACGCATCGTCCTGGCCAACAACCCCAGTGAGACGGATTTTTCGTCCCTGACAGATGTCGATTTAATCCTAGACTATCTATATGGCCCCGCCGTTGCCGCACTTCTAGACCAACTCAAATCCACCGTCCCTACGCAATTCGTACAGATTGGCACTGTAGCCGCGACCGATATGGCATTGCCTGGCGCAATATTGCGGAGCAAGAACATCACCCTTCGAGGGGCTGGCCCAGGAGCCTGGGCTATGTCACATTATGCGAAGGAGGTGCCGGCGTTGCTGGCAGCGGTGGCCACGCTGCCTGACATGGATCTGAAGGTGAGGAAGTTGGAGGAAGCTGAGGCTGCGTGGGCGGCGAAGAAAGAGAGGACTGTGTTTGTGCCGTGACTGGCCGACAACGAATGGTGCCGTGCTGGGCTAATGGCTCTGAAGGGGAGGATTTAGAAAAACTATGCGGAACGGGTGGGAAGCTTAAGGCTACGAATTCTGTCGTTGCTGGACGGAAGACACACGGTGGGATGAGATTGGATCCATCAGTTGTCTGCCATGAGCGGCGCTACAGGCCGACCTCGATGTCGATCCATATGCACTTAATCGTGGTCGACTCCAAAAGCCCCATTTCGCTCTCTGTTCGAAAACTCACATCCTGTAATCTTGCGTACACAGCCACTTCATCTGTCTGGAGTTTTCTGTTCTCTCCACGTCTGTTCGCTGTGGAATTGCCGTGTCCGGAGCCCGAGTCGGGGAATTCGGGACCGCGCCATCCAAGATTCCATTTGCCTGTCTCGCCTGTTGGGTCGTGGTCCGGTCCGGGGAGGGAAAAGGCACGTTTGAACCATGATGACTTGGTGGAACGGGCCGGTAGCTGAGTTTCCGGTGCCGGCTG